CGATAAGGAGAACCACGCCTCCCCCGCGGGGGAGGCGAACGCCCAGGGCGCTTCATGGGGCTCCGCACCGGACGGCGTTCTCCAGCACGACCTCCCGACATCGCTGCAGAGCAAGTTTGGCGTTGTGGTTTCACCCCTCCTCTCGTTGATGGGTGATCAAGCGGCGTCTATTCGGCGAAGGGACTGCCTAAAGGCTTTTATTCTCTCTTCGAATGTCTCCGCCGAGGCGGAGACGGAGTTTTTCAAAAAAATCGCCTCTCCTGTTTCCTCATATGATATTATCTTTGTCTCGCCAGAGAAGCTTATCAGCAGTGTGCCATTAAGGACGCTCCTGAAGGCGCAAAGGCATCGTTTGGCAATGATCTGTGTGGATGAAGCGCATTGTGTTTCACGATGGGCGTACGACTTTAGACCGTCTTTTATGTATATTAATCGAATTCTTTCCGAGATCCTCGCGGAGGAAGGGTCTTTGTCCAATAAAGCGATATGTTGTAAAGCGCAAGGTGTGAATTCGGATTTTGTTCCCATTATTCCTACAGCGTACCTTTGCTTGACTGCTACTGCCACAAGACCCGTTGTGAAAGATCTTCAGAGCATGTTTTCCATCGCTCATACAGTTATCTGTAATGATCAATTTCGACAAAACCTCATTCTTCAGTCCGTACATTTGCTTCGTTTGAATTCCATGACGTACGGGCTTAGTGTCGACGACAATCGAACAAGTGGGCCGCCAACAATGCGTACTTTACAAGAGGCTTTGATAGATGCAGTGAAAGAACTTCCGAAGCCGTTGATTGTCTATGTTCAGTCCAGAGCGGATGCTGATGAGCTATCAAGGTATTTAGCTTCTAAGCTAAGCCTGGGGACGGCAAACGATGATGAGAGCACCTCAGCAAAAATAAAAGCTCCTGTTCAGGTTTTTTCAAAGACTAAGAAATACGATGCACAAAAGAAGGGTCCAAATCATGCGTTAGAGGAGGGTAATTTTCATCTTGTCGTTCGTTCTTATCATGCGGGGCTTTCCACGCAGCTTCGGAATTCAAACCAGCGAGACTTTATTCATGATCGAATTGATGTTTTAATCGCTACCGTGGCGTTTGGTATGGGCATTGATAAGCGAAACGTGCGCAGTGTCGTGCATGCCTACGCGCCGTCTTCGTTGGAAAGCTATGTGCAGGAAATCGGGCGAGCAGGGCGGGATGGAGAGAAGAGTTACTGCCGTATTTTATACAATCCGTATGATTTTTACACGCTACGCAGCCGCTTATGGACTTCACTGGTTTCTCCACAGGAGTTCCGCGCGATCGTGCTGTTGATCCTCTCCAATCCTATTACCCAGTTCGGCGAGAAAATCATGCTGGTTTCGGTCCAAAAAATCTCACAACAGCTTTCTATCGCGGAGGAAACGGTGGAGACGGTTCTTTTTATGATTCTAGCGCATAAAGATCCGGTGCTGCGGGGGGCGTTTAAGGGCATGCGAGGGAGCTGCCCGTTAGGGTATCGTGTGAATCATTCCACGCACGGGAAAGGAGCGTCCACGTGTGATTCCGGTGGTGCTGACAGCTCGAACTCTACAACAGCCCCCTCTTCTCCGTATCGTAAACGTTCTCGTAAAGGGAGCAAGGTTTCTTCCCATTCGATTTCTTCCGGAGAGGCAGTGAACGGTGCGGTGGTGCAGATTTTAGCGCAGCTTCAAGCGGATGATCCCGTTCTCGACCTGTTTAATCGCCGCGATATCATCGCTAATCAGGTTGACGCCGCGAATGAGGCAAGGCTAAGCTGGGAAGATTTTACCTACCGTTGTGCCGATCTTATCAACCACGAAAAAATAAGTTTTACCTTGAGTCGTCTTTCCTCGGCCTACATTATCGAAATCGGCCCATGTTTTGGCGAGCTTGTTAGCCCTGCTGGTGTGGAAAGAGCCTCTCGGCTTCTTTTTGAAGAGTACGACGCCCGGCTGGGCGCGCAGGTCGACTCCCTCCGGCGTCTTTTTGCCATCCTCCAGAATCCCTCTCACGAGGTTATTTATCATGCCCTTGAGGAAGATTCCATGGAAGATAAAATGATCCATATCTCTGAAAGAACTAATAGGGATGTATTGCCGACATGGAAGCCGCCAGCGTGTTTGTATACCCGCTTGGAGGCGGTTTCCATTGTGAACAGCTTTGTGGAAGAGAATCGCTCGCGGCTAAGCGCTTCTTACGAGGCCGCGCGGTGTTTGTTGGGGGTGATGCCGCGAAGCCTCATTAAACACGGCAAATATGCCGGGCAAATTCCCCTTTCGCATACCTGGTATGTGCGCTGCGCGTACTTTGGCAGGCTGCGGGAGTTTGACCTGCGCTGGGTATTAGCCGTGCTCGCCCCTCACAACTTGGATGAGGACGTTAAATCCAACCCACACAGCATCATCGCCTAGTGAACATACCTGTTATTGAGTTAAATTAAAGAGAAAATGATATATATTTATATATAGATAGATTGATAGATAGATATTAATAAAGAAAAAGAACCTATATTTAATATTTGCTGTCAATATTTTTCACCGAGAAACTCTGTGATGAAATCACCTCTATTTTATCCTTTACATGATGGATTAATTATTTTCTGTCTTTTCAAATTTTACCCCGCTTCGAAGGAATGAATTAGAAAAATATTCACATAACATTCTAAATCCTTAGATTCGGCGAGTTCAGATTCCCACTCAGTAGATTCCACGTAAAGTTCCGTGATGAGGCGTGCAATGCCGTGGCTAGGGGCCGCATTATGTGGTCTTTCGACTACCGATTCCACCCCGAGCGAGTCGAATCCCGCGTTTGAAAACATTCCAGTTTATTTAAAACCGTCCTCGAGCGCGTTTCGGAAGCCCAGCTTTTACATCCCGCGCATGCGAGAATCCGTCGAGGTAACTGAGGGCCGCAATGCAATTTTCCGCGTCGACGGACTAGGCTCGGCGCTTCCTCTCTTCGCCATCAGCTCGGCGTCTTGCGAATACTATTCCCTACGGCTTCCTTTGCTGAAAGCGGGATTTAAACGACTTTGCGCACCTTTAGAGGGTGTGTTTTGCAATCTCATATGGGGACGATCAATGGCCTCCCTTTCGCTCGGAACGCCTTCTTCCACATCCCTGCAGGCCATTTCCAAGCTTCTTGAGTCAGAAAATGCCCTCGCCCCGGACCTAAGGGAACGTTTAAGTCTGGCGCTGAAGGAAATGAACTGGGCCTCTCTTCTGAAGGCTCAAAACCCCTATCAACGCTTCAATCACTTTCCCCTTAGCCATCAGAATCTCGGCTGCAAGCGAGAGATGGCCAATAATTTACGTCGCATTCAGCTTCACATCGAACAGATGAATTGCAGCCTTTTGAAGTCTAAAGGGGATTTATCCCAAGCTTTTTCAGGGATGGCAGATATGTACGACTTCGCACCGCAGACGTGGGCCTATCCGCAGGAAAAGAAGGCCCTTTTATCTCTTTTTCGCTCTTCGTCAAGCTCGGAGCAGTTTATTTGGAAGCCCGCGAGGGGGAGCTGCGGGCGGGGGATTTTTCTCACCCAGGGCCATGTCTCGGCGGAGCGCGTGATGGATGAAATCGACAAGAAGGCCTCCGGAGAGAAGCCAGGGGGAAGAATGTACCGCCAATATGTTGTGCAGAAATACATCGATAACCCACTTTTGCTGGATGGGAAAAAGATGGATTTGCGGCTTTACGTCGCCGTCACCTCGTACAATCCACTGACAGTGTATTTGCATGAGGAAGGTCTGGTGCGTCTTGCCGCGGAGCCCTATGCTAACGACACGGAAAGCGAACTCTCCTCCTCGTACCCTTCCAACGTGAATGAATTCGACAATGCCGATGTAATTCAGCTGGCTGTGAACGGCCTATCGGGGGAATGCACCGATGCGCAGTTCCGAAACCGCTTTCGTCATCTCACAAACTACTCAATCGGGCGTAAATACCCCGCCTTGAGGCCGCTTTGGCAGCGCGGGTCCTTTCTGGAAGGTCAAACGCACCCGAGCGAAGTGGAAACGAGCATATCCACCCAACCACACATTATGACAGAGCCTGAGAATGTAGAGGAAGGGGAGTTAAAAGGAGTGGAAATGCCCCTTCCCGAGCTAAAATGGAGCCTCCAGCGGTTGTGGACGCATTTGGATCGCGAGTATAGTACTAAAGAAGGAGGGAATAGCGGACCTTTTTTAACACCATCTGAACGATTAAAAGAGGAAATTGCGTTGATTATTACGCGGGTTCTGATGTCTGTCCGACCTACCATCCTCCAAGCGCTTCATGGACCATCTAATAGTGTTTTATCCTCACAAACGCCTTCAACGCGCACTGGGGGGACTGGCTTTTTCGAGCTTTATGGCTTTGATATTATGCTCGACAATAAGTTAAACCCAAAGCTCCTTGAAGTGAACACGATGCCATCTTTGGAGAGCAGCTCAGATTTTGACTACGCCGTTAAAAGCAATGTCGTGGCGGATTTACTTAATTTATCGATGATGGAGGCCTTTGAGCGCCCACAAGAAGCGCTCTCCCCTTTTGTAAAGAATTCGGATCACCTGCATTCGCCCGATATTACGGTAAGGCCATATATTCACTCCTGGGATAAATTTTATCAAGCGAAAGGTGGTGATCAAACCCCTCAAATCTACTCTTCGATTCAACAGAAGGAAATTACTTTGAAGCTAGCAGATGAACTGGAGTATGCGCGGGGGTTCAAACGGATATTCCCACCCGTATCCGCTCGGGAGCTCGCTCGAAATACTTCTTTTTCGTCGAATTATCCTATTGATGCTTCTAGTCGACAATCGAAAAAGGATTTAGAAGCTTACAATACCCTAGAATTTTTAACACAAGAAGATGAATGGGCACTTGAATCGTCATAGTGGCTATGCCAATTGTAAGATTTACCATTAAGTAGATTTTGAGCGTGGGTATTAATGGTTACCGTTTTTTATTTTTAGATAATTTTTTGGAGGGATCACTTAAATGATTACACGCATAATAGATTAAAAAAAAAGCTGTGCACCACCTTTAGCTGAGTAATGATCAGTTGGCTTGATGCTTATCATCTTGGAAATAAAGAGGTAAAAGTGTGCAAAGACAAACAATAAAAATCACATTTTCATTTCATCTTGATTCATTAAACATCAAGCGCAACATGATCCGCTTTAAAAAATGATCGTTTTCAATGCTTTACATACCAAATAAAGATAATCATAAATATATATATACATACATTCATATGCGTTTGAGCGAATAACTTTAGTACGTGATTCAGGAAAATAAATCGTAAAGCTTTATATCTATGGCTTCAATGTTGATCCTTTTAGATAACCCATGCTCAATATTTCATTTCATTTCATTTTTGGGATTTAGTTAAAGTTATTTATGGATGAAAGTTCTGCAATATCATCCAAACCTGAGACGCACAGGGCCTCTTCGCTTACTCCCGATGAGGAGGCCCAACTTTTAACGGAGTATGGCGTGAAGGGTCCATATGATGAGTTGTTAAGCATTCCGGCAGCGAGCCGCTTTCGCTCCCATTACGGCGATGCCAATATTTTTTTGACCGGCCAACCTGACGTCCATTCCACCGAAGTGCCTAAAGATACCGCGGATGACTTAAATCAGCCTTCGGCGGCGCAGCTCCTGCATTATCCGATTGATTTGTTAGTCCATCGCTATACCTTCTCGTTTAGCCGCAAAGCACCGACGGGTTTAGCGCAAAGCATATCCGACACGCTGACGGCGCTTCAAGCGAAGCGGCCGCATCCGCACGCCTCGAGCCTCTCTCTCTTTCCACCCGGCGAATTTCCTGAATTGGCCGCCGCGGCGGCGATGGAGGCAGGCTCCGTCTCGCACCCCCTTCTGGACGAGGCGGATCGCCTGCTCAAAGAGGCCGATGAATGCCTGCAGCAGCCCACCCGCGTCGA